GTTATATATATTATGAGACTTTTTAGTTGTGTATTCTCGTTATATATATTATTGTTTAGTAGTGAGATTTTATTTTATACTTGTTTCTGAACACTATAGACAGTGTGAGACCTGGCGGGTCGTTACAATTCAACAATATACTTTTGCGTCTGGGAATTTCATCGTATGCTTAAGAAAAATACTTCTTAAACGAAAATCGTTCTTTAGGATAACAAGTTGAACAAGTGTGGTTTTCGTCTGAAGATGGTTTTAATAAATTATAAGCATTAGACGAAGTTTTCAATATAATAGATCAACCAAATAAAGTGTGTCTGAAACATTAAAGCATAGGGCAAGTATTTTTATACTGGTTCACTCAAACTAAGCTACGTCTAGTCTCCTTCAATTGAAGGGTTCCAATAAATGTTCAATGAAGTACAAGTATTATTTGTTTAGCCTCTTCAGGCTCGCAGTGAGTATTATAGACCACCCAGGTTATGACCACTCCTAGTCCCAAGTATTCTCAACTACTTCTAGTCCCAAGTATTCTCAACCACTCCTGGCTTGTCAACTTCACTCTCAATGAGTATTCTCGACCACCTCCTGGTCTGTCAGCTTCACTCACTAGCGCTAGTATTCTTTTAATCAGCCACTTCTAGCTCGTAGTTAGTATTCTTTGACAAGCCTCTCTAGGCTTTACAAGTATTTTTTTCCTAGCCTCTTCAGGCTTTACAAGTATTCTTTTCCTAGCCTCTTCAGGCTTTACAAATATTAACTAGATAGGTTTAGTTTGAGTGTTTGGGTTACTCTCACAGAGAGGATACATAAGAATATACACTCACTAAGGTATGCAACCTTAGTCTTTACAATGATTAAATGTTTAGTCTACTCTCACAAAGAGGATTCATAAATTGGTACACTCACTAAGGTTTTTGTTCCTGAGATGCAGATGCTTGGAACTCCTTAGTCTACAGAGATGAATACACTATGGTACATTTGACTCTAGACGCTCTATCTCTGGTTTCGTTGCTTCATGGGCTTGATATCACTTTTTGTTAAAATTGCAAAGCCAAAAGCCAGCCTTTCAAGGTTTAAGATAATGATATATATATTGACTTGTAGAATTTTCCCGTTGCAAGTGTCCATTGAAGCAGATATAGTCGTTTATGACTAGTTCGATCTTCTCATTTAATGCTTGAGTTCTTGCATTAAATGTTGCTTCCTGTGATAGACATTGCGTGTAATCTTCTTTGCCTTGTTAGCAGTTGTGTTTGAATTTAGCAGAGACCTAGGAACCTTTTTGTCATTTTCTGGTCACATAGTTGTAGAGTGTTTGATAGAAAAGAATGGCACAATCCAAGAGGGGGGGTGAATTGGATTCTATGACCCTTTAAAAATTATCAGAGTATGTAGGATCTTTATTTCACTTTTAAACTTTTCTAAGACTGAATTTTCAAATGAAGCTTTTCTAAAGACTTGTTATGAAAATATGAATGCAATATGCTCACTTGATTACAACATAATGAGGTTCAACAATAATGCTCTAATTCAGATTTAAACCAACAATTTTCACATACACATATTAATCAAGTTTTATCTTCTTTAAAGTTCAACCAAGAAATTACACAATGTAAAAGATAAGGTAGAAGAAGATTGCACAAGTCTTTTATATTGGTTCCGCCACTCCACATGTGAAGTGTATGTAATAAAATAATATCGGTATGATTTTTATTAACTATTATACCATTTAATAATTTTATATTAGACATAAATTTTGTTGATCTAATCGTAGAATTATAACTTCATATTATCTTGTATATTTATGTCAAATTTTATTAAGATTGAACAATAATTTGAAGGTGATCAAATTATTCATCTTTTAATATATATTGAAATATATATATATATATGAGGAGGGTTCAAATGATACTGGTGTAACTTTTACTAAGTGTTACACCGCTTAATAACTTTATATTAAATGTGAATTTTGAAAATCCAACCATTAGATTGAAAGTTCATATCTCTTAGATCATATATGTCAAATTTTTTTAAAATTGAATAACAACTTGAAGGTAAGTATTCATATTTTAGTATATTTTGAAATGTATATATTACGTCAATTTTGTTTTATGAGAATGAAGTATCAAATCATCTTAGATTAATATAAAATTTGATATATATGATCTAAGGTTTTCTGGAAACCAACCAAGAACAATATAATCGATTATTTTGCTGGATAATCGATTATTCCAGAAAGTTGTTCCTGGGATAATCGATTATTTTGGCAAATAATCGATTATTGCAGCAAGGCATCCCATTTTGCCTATTGCTGGAATAATCGATTATATTTAACAATAATCGATTATTTTGAGTTAGTACTTAAAACTTCATTTTAAGTCTCAAAATAACTTTTCAATGTTTTAACTCATCATCATATACTCTCTACTTAGTTTAGATATAGATTTGATTATGCACAAAGCATACTAAGCACACACAATATAAAATCTCATTCAAAATAACTTAATTTCTAAACTCTATTACATTGCTCCATTACATAGCATGTTCTTGACTTTTCTTTGACTTTGTTTTTGTGCTACCAAGTTGTAAGTTGTTGTTGTACACTTGTGTTGTGATCATCAAAACTTCTTTAGGCTTCAAGCTCTCCTAAGCTCAACAGTGTTGTCCTTATCTGAAAAAGTGATGTACTTTTTCTAACACATGCATGCTTTTGCTTTTGCGTGCTTTTCTTCTTCTTCTTCTCTTCATTTGATCACACGTTTACGTTGAGAGCATTTGAGTGATTATAGACGATGCCTTGATTTGTCTTTTGAGACTTGATTCTTTAATTGCTTGCGTGACAGTTTTTATCTACGTCTGTTGGTCCTATGCATCTCAATCTGTGATTTTCGTCTGAGCATTTGAGTTTAATGCTTTGACTTTCTTTTGATTTGGTCAACATTACAGATGGACAGACTTTTGTTCTTTGTTTGAAGTGTCTTACAGTTTGTGTTGTCCTTCGTCTTTTATGTTGTTTACTTTCTTCTGATCTTTGACTCATGCTCTGTCTATTTTCTTATGTTGCACTGGGGGTTGTCCTTGACATACCTTCATCTGATGTTGGACTTATAGTTGTCTGGCGCACGCATTATACTTTGTCTGTTCAGTTAGCTTGATTTGTTTGATTCTCTGATGTGCGTTGCCTTGACTTTTCTTTTTATCAGAGTTGGCCATTTGGTTTCATCTGATGTTTAACCCATCTTTCTCTTGTTCCAGATTTAGCCATGTTTTGGCTTTTTATTTGATACTTCAATGTTTCGGCTTGTAGTAGGCCTCGTCTAGTGTTTGTTGAATGTTCTTCTATTTTTGATTGGACCTAATCTTGATGCTTGACTAGCCATCAGCTGATTCTTTTGTTTAGTTTGTCCAGGCTTCGTAGATCTTGTATTTAATGCATTTGATCTTGCATTAAATGTTTGCTCGGTGACTCTAGGTTACATGAAGTCTTTTGTACAGTTTGTTTACTTCTATGTCTGACTTCGATCATAACCTAGGCATATTTGTACTTTCCGGGCATTGTAGCTACAGAGGCGTTGTCTTTTACTGACTAGTAGGTGTACTTGCTCTGACACATGCAGCTTTGACTTGTGGACAAGCGTTAGTCCATTTTTCTCTTCTCTCTTCTTCTATTTTAATGACTTCATGTATTTTTCTGAGAGTTTGGATGCTAGGTAGTTCTTCTCGTTGTGACCTAGTAGACTTCAGACACAATTCAACATTTTTCGTTTTCGACTAGAAATTTGAGTCTCCGTCTAAGAGATAGATTTTAACTTTGATTTTCCATCGTCTGTGGTCTTGTATCATTTAAGGCATCATTATTTTCCTTCTTATGTTGAGCTTGTTTTCATCTGATCTCTTCATCTGATGTCTTGTAGCTTTTACCCTTTATCTTGGTTGCTCATGCTTTGTTCTTTATTTTGCATTGTGTTGGGAAGGAGGCATTGTATTTACTGTACTGCAAGGTTTGTAGTTTGTGGATAGCTTTGTCTGGTGTATTTCCTTCTTTTGATCAACCTTCATCACCTTCATTCGGCGCTTAGCTTATTTTGTCTTAGTTCTGGTGTAGAGGGTGGTACATGCATATTCTCTATTCTTCAACTTACATGTACTTATGTTTTTATTTGAAACACTAACACATTTGTTAGACATAATAATATGTATTATATTTGTCTCATTCAAAACCTTACTGAGAATTGTTTCGTCTGACTTAATAATGAGTTATGTCTCAATTCTACAAAATTAACTTGTAAAGTGAAATTTGTTTTTCATTATAAACTTTTCTTTTACTTTATTTTTAATTAATGCGAGACTTATATTTTTTCTTTAAAATTTGAGTTTTTTTTTACTTTTCTTCACATGTGAGTTATATGTCAAATTTAATCTCACAAAATTAGATTTTAAAGTGAAGACTCTTGTAAATAAATCTTTTTTAAATAATTATGGAGCAGGAAAGATAAAAAAAAAATAAAGTAAAATTATATTACTAAGAAAAACCTCTTTACCGAAAAAAATAATAACGAGAATAGAAATAAGAGAAGAGGAAGGAGAAGGTTTGGCTATCTTATTCTAAGAAGAAAAATTGTCGACACTCTTGAAAAGTGGTTCCCAATTCCCAAAGTTGACCCCAAGTAGAACGGGTTGCATACGCGGCAAAGACGCCCAAAGCATCATCTACGCAAACAAGTACCATTTTTCAAAATCTATACTAATACGTAAAAGGTACTTTTTTATACTATTATATTTTTTTATTTTAAAAAATTTTAAAAAAAATTAATTAAATTTAAAAACTTAAATTGATAAATTAATCATAATATTAAATTAAATTAATATACTTTTATTATTTAATTTTTATTTTTATTTAATTTTTAATAGACCAGTGACCATGATGTCCTTTTCTACGTTCAGAAATTCGGAACTCCAACGTCCTCTAATTCCTCAAAGCCCTCAAACCAAACAAAGTAATCCCAATGCCAACCAACACCACACTCTTTTTCTCTCTCTTCTCCCCCTTGTTTCTCGCTTAAGCCTTTCTCTCTCCTACAAATTTCCCCTTTTTCTCCGGTTAGTCTCAGACACCCTCATTTTCTCGGGATCCCCCGATTCACCGTGTGATCCCGGGGTTTTTCCCGAACCCGTTTCCTCTCCCCTCTCTCCCTTTTCCCCTTCTTTTTTCCTTTTCCTTTTTTTTTTTTTTTACTTTCAGTTTTTGTTTTTATTTTTTTTATTTCAATAAACAAAAAAAGGATCAATGAGCGATCATCTGGTACTGTTCGTGGATCGTCTCGTGCGGCCCGTCCCCATGGAGCCGCTGGCCCAACATCCCGTCCAGCCCGCTCCCGAGCCCTCCACGCCCGTCGATGAGCCCAAGCCCGACCCCTCCGGCTCCTCTTCCATGGCGGAGGACGACGGCGACGACGAGGACGCGCCACTACTTCCCCTGGCCGAGTGCCGCATTTGCCAAGAGGAGGACAATGTCAACAATTTAGAGTCTCCTTGTTCTTGCAGTGGTAGTCTTAAGGTATATACATACATTATAAAATAAATAAATAAATTATTATTTAAAATAAATCACAAATTAATTGGTTTTGATCAACTTATAGTTATGAAATACATTATTATGAGGCTATGTTAATCAATTTGGCATTAGTGGATCAAGTTTTGTCTTAATGATTCGTGAATTGGTGGAATTTGTTTACACAGTATGCTCATAGAAAGTGCGTCCAACATTGGTGCAACGAGAAAGGGGACATAACTTGTGAGATATGTCACAAGGTATGTTTCTTTCGCCAGTAATTTTTTCACGTTTTGTAAAATTTCTAGTATTTTGAATTTGTGATGATGGTTAGATAATGGTGATTGTACTCATATTATTATTTTGACTAGTAAGCTTTTTTGAACAATATTTTTGTACAATGGTGCCTTTGGATTCAACCAAATTCTCAGTGCTATGAGCCTGGTTATACTATCCCGCCACCTCGTCCTCAGCCTGAAGAAACCACTATTGATATAGGGTAAGCTAAAAGTTTCTGTTTTGAAAATTTTTATTCCAATATGTTAGTTTTGTGTATAAGCAATTTGTTTAGACTCTTGGACATATTTGTTTCAAATTCTTGCCTCACTAATGAGTTGTGATGGTCTTCACAGTGGGGGCTGGACGATCTCTGGCACGCCGTTGGATTTGCGTGATCCTCGACTCTTGGCAATTGCAGAGGCAGAACGCCAATTCTTGGAGGCTGAGTATGATGGATATGCTGCTTCTAATGCCAGTGGAGCTGCATTTTGTCGTTCAGCTGCACTGATTGTAAGGAGTTAATTTTGAAGTATTTTTTAACCAATTATTTGTAGAATTATATCATATTTATGTGCAACAGACATTCATTTTTTCAAATCCATGTTGTTTGACACTTGACAATAGATTTAGGCCTAAGTGTATCAAGCTTTGGACATAATTGTTTGGAATTTTAAGGAAATTAAGTCAATTGTACTTGCTATGATCTTTAGGTTCTTGATGCACATTGATTATGCTAGTAGTATAAACAATATGTATGTTTGTTTGGAATTATAAGGAAAACAATTGTATTTGTTTTGCTATGATCTTTAGGGTCTATAATGATATTGACTATGCTAGTATTATGTTGATAACTTGGACATGATTTAAGCCTAATCCATTCTATTTGGTGCAGTTAATGGCCCTTTTACTCTTGAGGCATGCACTTTCTGTCACAGATGCTGATGCTGATGATGATCCATCCACCTTTTTCTCTGTGAGTGACTTTACTTTATTTTCCTTAATTTGTCTATATAGTAGTTGTATTGCTTTCAAATATATTGTCTGACGAACCTAATTAAATGACCATTTTCTACAGCTTTTCTTACTACGAGCTGCTGGTTTTCTTTTACCTTGCTACATCATGGCTTGGGCAATCAGTATTTTGCAACGCCGACGACAAAGACAAGTAAGTTTCAATCTTGGTTCTGACCAATTTTTGTTCCGATTTTGTTGATTATGTGTTGATTTGTTTAGTTTTGAATTATGTTCATATCTCTTGGTTGTGTGTTGGTGGGAAACTGCAATACAATGTAGATGATTTACTTTTAATGTTCTATGAATTTCTCATTGTTTGTCATGTGAAACAGGAGGCTGCAGCACTAGCAGCAACCCAAGTTGCATTCGTTCTACAATCTGGGCAGCGTAGGGGTCTGCAATTTGCCATAGCACCAGGACCAACAATGAACACACACCAAGAACAAGTGTAATTGCATGCTTGTGTTTGTAACACTGGCGTGTGCACCATGCAAAAAGGGCTTATTAGAATGCCGTGCATTTTTTTTTCTTTATTCATGTATGTACATACATTTGCTTGAGCTGCTTTGAGATGGTGCTTAATATTTTTGGAGTTCATAGCCTTCAACAAAGAGCATCTCATTTTGTTATATTGCTGCTTCGAGTCTTTCTAAGTTGTAGCAATGCTAATTCTTCTAGAAAGTTAACAAGTCATTTTATAACGATAAGGTTGTGTTCATGCATGTGTTTTTGCTCCGTAATAATCATGATTGAAGCAATCAAACGGTAGAAGTAGCTAAAAAAATTTGCATTTGATCGCAAGAATGTCTTGTCAGCCATTAGTGCTTGTTGGATTTCTATACTTTTTGGTTTGCTTCTGAATGTATTACCCCAGTAAATGCCCCCGCCTCCGATACCTGCCGGGGATAAAATCTGGGTCCTCATCTCCGTCCCTGGCGGGTTTCGGGTTTCCCCACCCCGCTCTTACCCTTCTATTTTTTTTTCTTCTTTTTTTTTCTTTTAAATAAATATGAACAATTTTAAAAAAAATAAAAGAAAAGTAAAATAATATAAATTTTAATATATAAATATTTATAATTTTGGTTTATATATATATAAATAATTTTTTAATTATATTATTAAGCGGAGCGAGGACGAGTATGGGGGCGGGGGCGGGGTGGGTATTAACATCCCTGTCCTGCTCCCGATTTTATCAATCGGGAAAAACTCAAATCTGAACTCGATAAACACAGATTTTTCCCATCTAAATCGGGGCGAGTTTGGGCGGGAACCCACGGGGCAGGTTAGATTACCATGCCTAATTATGTTTCCAATAGCGAAATCATGTCATATATGTAAACTTAAATATTCATTGTTAGCAATCGTTTATATGTTGAATGTCCCAATATTTACAATAGAGGAAGCCTCTCAAAATTAACCTACAATTGATCTTTGATGGCAACTTTCTTGTTACAATTTTAATCAAACATTATTCTTAGCTTAAAGAATGCTAAAAATAATTATCAATTTTCCTTCCAAATAAATAGTCATTATTGTTTCCTCAATTACAATCAAACATTATTTTGCAAAATAACAATGATCATTAATTACTCAAGGTAATTGACTTCCTTTAAAATAAATTAAGGTAAGTGTAGTGGATTGATCAACACTTATTTGTTAAAATTATTTTTTTAGAAAATTTTCATTTTGATCTTGACTTAGGGTGGATTTTAGCAAAAATTTTATTTTTTTGCTATCGTAATTTCATTTGATTTGTGTCTTTTGTGGAAGTTCAGCCTTCTCTTCGTAATTGCTATCAAGTTGAGTATATAAATTGTCTTTCTTTAGCTGTTCTTTACTAAATGCATATAATCACTTTTCTTGTCCTTTTATTTATTTATCATAAATCCATTTGATTTGTCGAGGATTGCAAAAGCAAAAGGTAGCTTTTCAAAGTACTTGCCTTTTGGTATAAGAAAAAGTATAAGATGAAAATGAAAATATGTTGTTTGTCACCTTTTCAAACAATATCATAGAGATATTTGGATAATTTGTAGAATGAGGAAGAATTTTGCTAACCTACTACTCAAGCAGTGTTAAACATTGGGATAACAACTCAACATCTAGAATGTCCTTAACAAGGACAAGAATAATATATAGCACCATTTGTTAGAATAGAAAATGATATAGAAGCCACGCTTCTGAGAGTAATCTACAATTATACACACAAGAAATCATGTAATGTTAAGTCTTTGCGATCGTTTGGCATCTTAATTTTGATGAATAACAAACATAAATATGATTAAATCACAGTATAAGAAAATGGGTGGGAGATAATTGTTTTAAACAAACAAATAAGACACATACTTTAGTAGGAAAAATATTATATTATATTTGCTTCCATCACTATTCACTTAGGGGTAATTTGCTTCCATCAAATTTCAAAATAAATTAAGGTAAGAGGGTAGTGAATTGGTCAACGCTTGTGTTGAAAGTGTTGAAATGAATCTAAATGACTTTTTCATTTTCATCTTGATTTAATTAGGTTTTGTTCGGGGGTAGGTTTTAGTTTTTAAAAGAAAAAAAAAAAAAATCAATGTTTTAGTTTATAGTTTGTCCTTTTTCAGATTTGAAATTTTGTTGTCATTCTTAAATTTTTCTTGTAAAATTTTATTAAAAAAATACTAGTGAAAAAAACACTTTTAAGATCGGTCAATTTTTAATTTTAAGATTGGATCTTAAAAGAGATAATCTTAAAAGTTGGACTTTTTAAGATGACCGTCAATAGCCGATCTTAAAAGTTAGACTTTTTAAGATCGTACGCCAATAGCCGATCTTAAAAGTTGGACTTTTAAGATCGGTCACTCCAATAGCAGATCTTAAAAGTTGGACTTTTAAGATCGGTCACTCCAATAGCAGATCTTAAAAGTTGGACTTTTAAGATCGGTCACTCCAATAGACAATCTTAAAAGTTAAACTTTTAAGATCGGTCATGATAATAGCCGATTTTAAAAGCTGGACTTTTAAGTAAGATCGGTCATGGTAATAGCCGATCTTAAAAGTCTAACTTTTAAGATCGGTCATTGAGATAGTCGATCTTAAAAGTCCAGCTTTTAAGATCGACTATTATCATAACCGATCTTAAAAGTTATGATTTTTTTTTAAAATGATTAGTTTGTTTTGAGAAGGTTTTTGAACAAAACCTGCAAATTAATACCAAGCAAATGATATATTTTCAATGGTCCAAATTACATACAAAATACTAAAGAACTTTTTGGAAACATATTCAATACAATAATGTATACATAATAAGTATTTCATAAAGAATAAGTCCTAACTAGTTAGTGTTTCAATGAAAAATGTAGCCCATTACTCCCTAATAATGTTTATGTCTTCTGATGACAATGGTGATCGATCTATAAACAAATACCTCATGGTAGCTTTCTCACTACGTAGAGCCACAGGACCAAGACCTTCACATTAAATGCAATATAAACAAATAAATCAAGATTTAAGAGCAAAATCAAAAATACTTGGTGACATTTTAATATTCATAGTTAATTCACAAGTCACTATTTTTTTTCTACATGAAAAAAAACTACTCAATTATCCGATTCTTAGAAGACAAAGCCATATCAAAATCAACTAATCTTAATAGATGATGCAAAAGGGTCACTAATACCAAAAAAAATAGAATGACACATGGCGCTAAATGACAATGGCAATTGCTGGAAATAACATCAAACCACAATGAAGATAAGGAAAAATTCACCAGCTCAAAATCGGAGTAATTAAGCCAACGAACTAGTTCGCAAAACCAAAGTGCATCTGGCAATAAATATTAGAGCAGCAAGAAAGAAAATAGAGCAGCAATAAATAATTAGGTATCCGCTCTTCAATTAAAAGTTTTTTTTTTTTAAAAAAAAGTAGGTGAAATCAGTTCTTCATGAACTATTACTGCATCAACCCATAACCAGAGTGATAACAAGAAATCCCCGGTTCACTGCTTGAAGATAGCCTATGACACGTGCAATGAGAGAGCGTGGGTACACAAGTTATTTTTAATTAAAATATTAAATACTGATACTCAAACATATAAAATTTATTACAAAACTCATAATAATTCCTAGTTCACAAATTAAAATCAGTAAAATATTGTCTTGTCTTTTAGGGCATATTTGAAAAACTTTATCTGAAAAACAAATTCGCAGTAAATCGTGCTCTTGAGAACAACGTGATGTCCGGTTGAAAACACCAGAACACGATCTTCCAAGAAAAAATCACATTGGCATTATTTAAAAGTGAAAGTTGATGCAAACATATCATGTTGTTACTAGCAATCAGGAAGAAGAATATCGGTAGAAACACTCTCCATCGCAATTTGCAATTCACAATTTAAAATCAAGCCGGTTCCGTTTCAGCAGCAGCAAAGCAGGATTCACGATTTGATTATTCAAAAACGCAAGCAGAGTGGTAGAAGCAATAACACAAACGAGTGGTGGCCATATAAAAAAATATCACGGCTAGTTTTAACAATCTTCTTACATTCACCAATCAAATAAGTATCGCTTATTTTTCTACAACCCCCTCAGAATATCACGGCTAGTTTTAACATATCGTGGACTCAAGGTCATATAATATTTATATGGGTTCTTAATTCTTTATATTTATTTACAAAAAGTGTCACGATGACATTTTTGTAAATAAAGTTACAACTTTTAAGATCGGTCATATTTTAGCCGGTCTTAAAAGTACTTTTAAGATCGGCTTAAATGTGACCAATCTTAAAATTGTAACTTTATTTACAAAAATGCTACCGTGACACTTTTTGTAAATAAGATTACAATTTTTAAGATTGGTCATATTTTAGCCGATCTTAAAAGTACTTTTAAGATCGGCTAAAATGTGATTGATCTTAAAAGTTGTAACTTTATTTACAAAAATACCACAGTGGTACATTTTGTAAATAAGATTACAACTTTTAAGATCGGTCATATTTTAGTCGATCTTAAAAGTACTTTTAAGATCGACTAAAATGGGACCGATCTTAAAAGTTGTAACTTTATTTACAAAAATGCCACGGTGGCACTTTTAAGATCAGTTAAAATGTGACCGATCTTAAAAGTTGTAATCTTATTTACAAAATTGTCACCGCATTACTTTTAAGATTGGTTCTCTAATAATCGATCTTAAAATCCTGATCTTAAAACTAATTTTTGTACTAGTGAAATATCAAACTTTCACTGGACTTTAATGAAAGAATCAAGAGAGAGTAGACCATAATTGGAAAGCAAATAATTTTAATTTTTTTTACAGGATTTGGTCAATTAAGAACAAAGCATGTCATGATTGAATTGGGTTAAAAGATCCAAAATTTAATTTAAATCTCAAAATTTAAATCTCAATTGGGTCACTAGCTGTAGTAGGTTGGATAAAAAGGCCTAAACATGATGAAAGTTCAATTTATATTGACTTTTGTAGATAAGGTGCAATTGTAAACTGACTCATGATAGAACTGGATTAAAAAGTTCAAATCTAATTTATATTCAAAATTTGAAGATCAAGCTCTATTTTATCTAATATTTAGAGACTATTCTTTGAAAGGAGTATTTTTTAAGAGAATCTCTTGACTTCTTTTTTAATTAATTAATTA